AGAAAGAGTTAGGGTAGTGTCCTTGGAAACAGGAGTGGACACACACACACACACACGGCCACACATCACCGTCGGCATATCAGGCTCTTTGAGCAGGTAGCTCGTTTTCAAGCAGAATCTCCCTGTCGACCACTTTTGTCGGAAGAATGACAGGGAAAACCGGCGGCAAGGGAGTGGCTGTGACCTTTAACAAACTGACCTACACTGTGCCTGTGAAGAAGGAGAGAGTGAGACCCGGAAAGCGAGGGATCGTGAGGGGTGGGAGGGTGGGTATCAACTTCAATCGATCATCCCTTTTTTTGGAGGACTCGTGTTTGCTTTGCACCGCCCCAGCATTGATGCTGAAATGCAAAAGGTGCTGAGACATCTTGCATAAATAAATATATATATATAAGATCATAATTTAAAGGTGCTAATTTCAGTGTTGCCTGTCGATCAGTTTGAACTTGTCTTTTTCGACACAAGGGGCGCCTTCTTTTTAGGTTGAATAGGTGTCCAGAATCGTGCCATGCTACTCGACGTGTGGTTTCTTGCATTTGAACCCCATCTTCCCCTCCAAACCACTCCCGCACCAGGAGAAGTTGGAGATTCTCAAGGACCTCTCTGGAGTGTTCCACCCGGGCCACCTGACAGCCCTGATGGGCCCCAGTGGTTCTGGCAAGACCACACTCATGGATGCTTGGACGGGCCGGTGGGAGGTATACTGTGTTTCCTTGGAGAAGGGGGGACCTTTTGGGCCGAAGGGGGGCTACTCTTATAGGACACTCTTGTGGGTCACTCTTATGGGACACTCTTGTGAGACACTCTTGTAGGAAACTCTTCTGGGACACTCTTGTGGGACACTCTTGTCCCATTCGTTTGGTCTGGGTTTCCCTTGCCCAGCTCCTTCTTCGTGTTCTTCTCCCCTCATGGGGTCCGCGGATGTCCGCGGCCTGGGAGGACTGTGCAGGGTGAAAGGTGGAGACCCAACTATGTATACATCAGGCAGGCGATGCCGTAGAGTCCATTTTGTAGTAGTAGAGTCCCCAAGACCAATGCCAATCCATGTTTTAAGGGGCTGATGATGGTTGATAGGTTTTGCCAATTCACCATTCATTGACAAAATCACAGGTCCTTCAGTGGGAAGAGGGAATTCATCCATCACTCATTTTCATCGGTCAATTGCCACCTGTTGTCCATCGGCTTTCCATATTTCAATCGCGACCCGGGCTTCATCTTCAAGGTGCTCCATTTCGGACACCTCCCTTAAAGAGAAGTGGTATCACTTTTTGGAGTCTATCATTTCGTCCCCGAGTCAAGCGGCACTCCACCTGCGTGGCGTGGAACGCGCGGAAAGCGACCGGCGCCCCTTTCCACGCGCGTCGTGCACCGCGCAGCGTGCGGGCCGTTGTTCAGGACATTTTGGCAGGCCGGAAGAGCGGTGCTGGCAAGATCGAGGGCGAAGTGTTCCCCGGCGGGCTGAAACAAAACAGGGAGGTGCAGGCACGAGGCTACCGGGACTACTAGTTACTAGATGTTACTAGTAGTAACAACGGTGTGGAACCCCCCGTCGTGGCCGTCCTCCGGGCACCCGAGGCCCAGCTGGTTGGTCTTGAAGACTGGAATGGTTTGGTACAGATTGGTTGATCAGTTCAAGGATTCTGGACTCCTGCTATGTTTCAATATGCCCTAGGGCTCCTGGCCCATCTCAGAAGGTGGTTAGACCCCCCTGGCACCCACCCCTGGCCCACCGAACCTCAGGAGGTGGGCCAGGTATCCGTGAAACGGGAATCCAAGGGAAGGGAGTTGATTGGTGAGGTGCGCCCCTCGCCCATCGTGCACTGGCAAGATCTAGCCAGAATGTTTGCTGCCCAAAGGTTGTATGGAGGCTCTCCAGCACCAACTGCAGTTCTGAAACCTGGCTGCAGTTGCAGCAAGAGCAGAAGGGCTGTGGACGGGCATGTGGGGCGCAATTTGCAAGCGCTCAAGAGCCATAAGTACCCTCATTCCAACAAACATGGGATGGTACCCTTGGAAACGGGCTTCATTCATAAGTGTTCCACTTCCATGTTTTTTGGAGAGTGTCTACAGTTGTAACTGTAACTGTTGATATTTATTCCGAACTCTATCTATTTTGTGAGTCGTGGACCATCAACATGTTGACACGCCTCAATGTTTCACAATGTTTCAGTGGCATTCAATGGCTGTCATGCTTTGGTGATGAGCACGGAGATGAAATGTTGAATCCTAACCTTCTCATCCCAATCAATGATTGACTCATTGGTTAAGTTAATGCAGATGCTCGCGTTCAACTCTTTTTGTTTCTCATGTAGACTGTACCTGGTTGTTTGGCATGGATCACATGCTTCGCTTCGCTGGGCGAGAATTCATGGATTACCTGTTTCTGTTCGCCTCATGGATCGCCTCAGATGAAACCAACGCCCTACAAGGGCCATGCCTCCCTAACCGGGCCAGCGGCCCAGCGGACCGGCGAGCGGCACCGTGTGGAGGAAGCACCTGACGGGCTACGTGGAGCAGTTTGACACCCTGATCGGCGAGCTGACCGTGGACCAGTGCCTGGGTCATGTGTGCGTCGCCCAAAGGCGAAGAAGCGAATAGAGAGAGCCAGCTTAGCCCGGCCTCAAGACTATAAGAGTATACCCGGACATCGTTTCAATCGGATGCAAAAGGTGTTCTACTCCCAGAAGCAGTGACTTGGTATGTTCCTTCATTTCGAGAGCTAGTAGAGCTTCCCAGAATCCGCCTGTCCGCAAGGTCCCTGCGTCCCACCTGCGCCTCTCTGAGGATGCTCATGTACACTGCGGAGATGAAGCTGCCCCGCTCCACATCCCGCGAGGACAAGCGGAAGCGCGTCGACCAGGCGCGTCGTCCGAAGAAGACGAACCAGTCACCAAAGGAGACCGAGAGAGGGCGCCTGGAGAAGGCTTTGGGGTGGGGGGGTGTTCGGGGAACATGTTCATGGCTTCATGGAATCGAGAAACCACGGTATTAACGGCTGTTGGTGGCATTTCACATCACGTGGGCATTTTACTTCGAGGTGGGGCTCGACTTTAACATGTTCTCCATTCTCCAGCTGATTCCTGAAAGAACACTCTGAAGAAGATCACAAGAAGCTATAGTAGGTTGGAGGCCATCGCTACTAGGGTGGAGGCCATTGCTACTAGGGCCAGGGTGGAGGCCATCGCTACTATAGGGTGGAGGCCATCGCTACTATAGGGTGGAGGCCATTGCTACCATGGGGTGGAGGCCATCGCTACTATAGGGTGGAGGCCATTGCTACTATGGGGTGGACGCCATTGCTACTATGGGGTGGAGGCCATTGCTACTATAGGGCGGACGCCATCGCTACCTAATTATTCGCTACTAGCAAGAAGCTATCGCTTTTTGGGCATCTCATATCCATCCACCAGCCCGAAATGGGTTCTTTCTCACCACCGTGCAGGTGATTTCACAACTTCGCCTCAACAAATGCCAGCACACCGTCATTGGCAACGTGCTGAGCCGCGGGATCTCCGGCGGGCAGGTGCGTTCTTTTTGTTCGCGCGTGGTTCGTGCATGTTTTTCGGCTTCTCCAAGGACGATGCGAAGGCCGCAAAGCGGTCGGCAAATGTTTGGGTGGCGGTAAAATGCCGTGAACTGGTGTTTGGGAGAATGTGTTGATTTGAGGTATTGTCATTGTTGTGTTTGGGTCCCTTATAGGCAAACTCAAGTCAAAGAATAGCAATAAAACATCACACCAAATGCGGGCTGCCACAAACTCATTCATTCAGTGTTTTGCGTGTTTTTTGGCTGATTGACCTAAGTATGGTATACGGCCATCTTTCGAGCCGATAAGATTATACAGTTAAATCATACTTAGCGGTTGCCTCGTCTTTAGACTTCTCCTTTAGCGTTTGCCTCGTCTTGGCCGAGAAGGGGCTGGGAGTTTCCCCTCGCTCCAGTCCCGGTGGATTCGGATGAGGAAGAATGCGGCTCGACGGGTGAGTCACCTGCCACGGTCAGATTCACATGGAACCAGGCGACGGGCATGGACCAGACTCTAAGACGAGTCCGAAGACCAACCCGACGTGGTTGAACCAGGTTCCATGTGGGCCTCTTCCACGGTTGCATTAATTGGTTTGCAAGAGACAACATTTCGGAGACCTGTAGAGTGCTGCTATACAGCACACCCCATCGTCCCTACACATCCCTACACCTCAGTTTGCAGTTCTGGTGAGGGGACTTCATCAATTCAGGGTTGGAGTTTGGAGATGTGTCCATTTGGACTGGAAGCCTTCCGTGAAAACCCAGGTCCCGTCTTTCACCTGGCCTTCTCCTGGCCTTCTCCTGGCCTTCGCCGTCTAGAGTGGCACTAGGCGAAGCGCGTGAATGTCGCTTTGGCACTGATCTCTCAGCCCATGGTGGTCTTTCTGGATGAGCCCACCAGCGGTCTGGACTCCAAGATGGCCAATGAGGTCTGCTCCATCCTGACGCTCCGACTGACTTCGAGCGGTATGTGGTTGGGATCGCGGATAGGAGAGCTCCTCCGGAGGTGGTCATGAGCAGCTGCATGTGTGTGTGTGTGATGATGCCTTGTTTTCACTCCGTGTCCATGTGTTATGAGTATATTTGATACTTTGGTCGCTTGCACTAGCAAGGTTGGCATTATGACGTTTCCCCAAATGCCACTATCCCAGTAAGCGGATTCAACATGTTGAGCTACACCAAGCTACACCTTTGCCTACGTCCTTCTTGGATGTGGTTGTGATTTTTGCCCGAGGAAGGAGCTGGTGAAAGATGGCTACACGATCATTGCCACTGTGCACTCGCCGACCAGCTTCCAGCCGCATCAGGTTGATGTTGGATGGCGAGTGGCCTGTGAGACCCATTGAGACCTTTGTTAGGAGGGTATCCTGCCGATAAAGCACGGAGAACTGATGGGACATATCCACGTATCAATTATCATGGAAGTTTATTTGGATCTAAAATTGAACTTTGAATGTGGCCGCAGCGCATCTAAGGCTTTGCCTTCTCACTCTTCGATGATTTAATGATGTTGCAGGCGGGTCACAATGGTGGCTTTCCCCAGCGACTACGCTCAAGTGTATGATATCATAGCGTTTGCGACTGGGCAGTTTTGGGCTTTCAAGGTCATGCGAGGGAACACCAGACTCAAGTTATTCTGTGCACACGTGGTGCATGTGGTGCACAGCTGTTGTTCATTCGACTGCCTTTCTAGAAGTTCGTTTTCAGCCCTGAAGCCGTTACGTTCACGGCCTGTTTGCAGAGAGGCTGGCGGTGGCATGGTGTACGCCGGCCCAGTGGCAGAGGTGAAGCCCTACTTTGTCTCCTGTGGATTTCCCTTCCCGGAGGAGTGGAGAATTATGTGGCTGACAGAGGATGTGAGGTGAAGAAAGGTGACGGACAGGTAGGACTTCGACAGAGTAGGAATGTTGTTGAGTGTTTCCTTTGCTTCGTGATGTTGCTTGTTGCCCGTCCTGGAGCTTTTGGGTAGGTAATGAAGACCGGACCGGAAGACTGAAGTAAATCCTTTGTTTTCTTCAAGGCTTCACTGTTTGCCGGCCTCACTTCACTTCACCTTCCCTTCCGTTTTGCGCCACATGAGAACCTCAGGAGCAGGGCTATTCGTTGCCAGATTGGCTGGTGGATATGACGAGTGGTGCCACTGGAGCGATCATGGACACTGCGGAGGTCGACGGTGAGAAGGCGCTGGAGGCTACTGACTTCGCGGCCGCCTGGGCGAAGAGTGAGAAGAGCGCCAGCTACCAGAAGGACCACATCTGAAGGGGTGAAAGACTATGAAAGAGCACCCGAAAGAGGCAGGTGATGTTCTCAGGTGCTGTTTTTTGGTTGTTGTGCTTTGGGGCGAATCAGCTTGGGAGAGCTGAGGCAAACCAGCCAACCTGAAGGAGTGAGGTGTAGCTCACACAAGTCCATTTCGAGGATTCTATCGCAGACATATGAAGTCCATGAAGTTTGGTGCATTTGTGGTTTGGGTAAGGGTGGTGAGTTCGCACTTGGTGTCTTAATCGAGGAGGATGGAGCAAGGAAAGAGCAAGCTGCTTGGAAGGTATTGACCCTCGGGCTCCTGGCCCACCTTCTGAGGAGGAGCCCTAGGGTGATTCTCTACTCGAGGACGTGAAGTGAAGACAGCCGACTACCGACTAGTTCGATCCAATCAGATCACCGACAGTCACACTTGCTCATGTTTGGCACGTCCCGGAGGGCACCAATAGCCCTCCAGTGAGGGAGCCCTCCAATAGCCCTCCAATCCGGAATGTGCAGCACCGGAGTTCCGTTCTGTATGGTTTCTTCTCAGCTGATCTTCTGAAGGCACCGGAGCGGAGCTTCAACATGGCACGAAACGACACCAGAAACAGCTCGCTGGATCCGTGTCATGATGCGGGTGCTGAAGATCCACCGGATCCGATCTTCAGAGGTGAAGGGGGTCTCTAAACAACCGGGTTAGTGAGATTAAACAGATGGATTCTTATCTGAACAACCGGGTTTTGTTTGATCCAATTGGGTCTAAACAACTACCCATCCTTGGGGTCCGGGTGTTGGTGACCCCCTCCGAAACTCGGGCTCCGCTTTGACCCTTCGTTTCGGGTCGACCTGGAGGGTGGGTGCCGCTTGGCTTCGGTGTCCTGAACTCACTCAAAAGGTCTCTATATAATATGAACCAATAGGTCCGTGTCCCGAGGCCCACATGGAACCGGGCCTTGGCATGGACCAGACTGGAAGACGAGTCCGAAGACCAGCTGGCCGTGGTTGAACCAGGTTCCGTGGGTCCTGTAGACACTTGAAAGAAGAAGACGTTGAAGGCTACCTGGTAAAGGTTTGACAGGTCCTGTCCGATGTTTTGATGTTCTCCAGGACTTTGAGGCCACCTTGGCCTTCTTGAAGGCGGAGCCTGCGCCCTTGAAGATGCTCCCCAGCGCGGGGCCGGGACAGCTCAAGGCGCTTTGGACGTTGCTGAGCTACCGCACCAGACACCTGGATGTGACAAATATATAAGTGTTGTTTTAGTTTAACGTGAAATTATGGGAAATCCATGACATGCTGGGCGAGGCTGAGTTTTTTGTTCTCCTCTGGTGGGATGATACCATACTAGAACACAATAAGTATATGTATATATAACCTAACATTACATAATGATAAGGACATATCAGGACTGGCTTTTGTTGTTGCAGTCTTTGTTTCCTACGGGGACAAGTGCTTCTTTCGTTGATGTTTTATTTGGGTTCAATGTATATATCCCAGACGCTCCATGGGACTGCCATATATGCCGATCAGTTGGGGTGGTGCCAGGGGGGGTCAATGTAGGCACAAATGGCAGTCCCATGGAGCGTTTGGGTATGTGTTTCGTGTGTGTGTGTGTGTGTCCTTCTTTCGAACCGCTGAACCCATGTCGCCACCGAGGCACCCACTATCGCTCGGGCGAATTCTTAGGCGGGCTGTTGCTGACGGAGGGTGGATCCAGATGACCGAGCAGGGCTGAAAAGGCTACCTTCTGAGAAGGTGTTAGGTTGGTTTAGACTTGGTTAGGTTGGCTAGAGCCTGTCAAAGCGGTTTTTGTTTCTTTGGTTGGTTTAGCCCTCAGCAGGGCTCCATACTCCCACTTGGCGGGGCTTGGGGGGGGAGGACGAGACAGCCCCTTTCGAAACTTTTCACGATTCAGAGAGTCTTTAGTTTAGTTGGGCTATGGAAGAGCCAGTGATTTTACGACCATAACTCAACTCAACACTTCCACAGCCATGCGGGGGTTGAAACCAAGCACCCTGGCGGAAAAGCTTCACCTGCTTCCAGGAATACACGACCCATGTGGCGTTGGCACCTCACCCTTCCATCCAGGCCCACGCTTTGGAGATAAGATCTTCATGTGCCCTGGCAGGTTTCTTTTGATCGTGATTTGATAGTGTTTTGCGACCAAGGGCCTATACCAAAGCCCTCTAAGGGGTGGTTAATGGATACCCCTTATAACCTCTAAGGAGCTATATTTGGACACCCCGAGTTGCCGGGGGTGGTAGAGGATGAGTTTCCCAGTGTTCACTCGGTGGGATGACTTCGCAGTGGTGGCTGTGTTGTCGCTACGCTCCTGGCCCTATGATGCTGCGCTCTCCGTCGGGCCTTCGAGCAGGGCGGAGATGAATCCGGACCCTTAGGGTTTACTACTTTGTGGCACCCTTGTTGTCAAGAGACCCCAATGATTTGCTTTGCGCCCTGGAAGATCAACATGGAACCTCAAAAGGTTGTGGAAGAAAAGGGTCTTCCAAAGGTCCATGTTCATGTTATATATATATATATATATATGCATTGGTGTAAGGTCTTGGAACCGGCGCCGATCTGAGGTCCCTGCTCTCCTTGTCCCTCTACTGGGGCATCGGCAGCAAGACAGACGCGCAGAGTATCCAGAGCACTGCTGCCGTGGCTGGTCCGAAGGCATATGAGGACACTGTCCTTGTGCTGGGAAGTGTTGGATGAGTCTTGAAGTCCGACTTGGACTGCAGGTTGGCCGGAAGTGCACGTGTTGAACATGTGCACTCTTGCCGGCTTAGACTCTGGGGAGACAAATTCGGAAACAAGCCTGGCCAAAAGACCCCATGCCTTTCCTAGGGCCAACATCCAAGCGCTTCGGTTTCATGTCGTCAGACGGTCTTGCACATATTTGACACAATGGGTGTCTCCACAGCCCCGCCGCAGAACCTGCTTTTGCTGATCAGGTGATCTTGATGCTCGGGAACTGGGTGAATTTTGTTCAGCAAATCAGCAAATTCCAAGAGAAACAGCTCAGGTGCTATACTTCTTTTGTGCACTCTGTGGCTATGGCGCTGCAGCGTTTCTTGCTCGTTTTGAGGGAGGCACGATGTTGGGGAGTTGAACGATTCGGTCAATTAGATGCCAGTTTCCCTCCAAGGGTTCAACAAGTAGAGCGCCACCTAAGCAAACAAATATATAGAAGATACACTATGATACACAGGTAGTTACACTGGTTTGAACACCTTTTGAGCCAAATATCGCACGGCAGGGGGAACCTTTCTACATGTGTTTGGTTCTGCCGCTCCACGGCCCACGTGTTCGGCTCACCCGGCAAAGCCTCGAAGTCTCGACCCCGAGGCAAAACGCGGGGCGGTAGACATGGACACCCGGTGTTCACTCACCGAAATGGAGCTATTCTGCTATTCTTAGACACCCCGAAATGGGCGCCTAGGCATGCCTAGGCTAGGATTTATTTTCATCAGATTGTTCTGTGACCATGGCTTGTCCATGCCATGTTGATATCGGGCCGAACTTGGAAGTAGGTCTCGGTCTCTCCCCCATCAGAAGTCACGAATTGAAGAAGCGCTTGACCCAAAGAGAGACTGCCGTTGGAGACTCCGTTTGTGGTGCAACTCGCACTCCGGAGTGATGACTTCTCCAACGGACGCGCGGCACCGGTACTTGACGTCCTTTGCGGCCGAAGCCTCTCTGGGGTCGGTTTGTCGCAGTTGGATCTTCTAAGCTAACGAAGCAGTTGGATCTCCCGAGCTGAAATCAAACCCAGACACTCCATGGGACTGCCGTATATGCTTACATTGGGGTGGTGTGGGGGGTCAATGTAGGCATATATGGCAGTCCCATGGAGTGCTTGGGAAATCACAAGAATTGGTTCCATATCAGGCATCTCCGCCCTTGAGTGCCTAGGTTTGTGCCTTCCTTGACGCTGGAGCGAGCACTCTTCTACCGGGAGCGTGCTGACGGTTTGCACATTCAATTGAAGATAATTGAAGAGTGTGGGCGGTGGGGGTGGTATAGAATCAACCTGCGCAGAGAAGAAACATTGGACTTCCAGCATTTGCTAGTAGCAAAACTACCATACTACCCTTCCCAATGGGAGGCGAGAATTAATACTACCAGAAATAGTATACAGTATACTTTTTGCATGCTAATACTTCAAGCATTTGGCAGCCAACCTAAACATGAGGGCTTGAGTTGGACGCTGATCAGGTTTGCCCAACAGAGTTGGCAAGCTGGGGGAACCACAGCAGGGAATGGAAAGGACTCGTTGTGACAACAGAGGTGCTTTGGTCGGTGCGAGGACGGTGCGCAGGACTCGTCGTCCGTTCCGAGTTCGGCTCTTCGCTGGGAGGTCACCATCTCCCTCCACCATCTTCACCAAATAGGTCCTAATAGGTGCAAAGTTCGGAAGAGGAAGTCAGACGATTGGGCGACCATTGGGGGGGAATAGAAGGACGCGAAAGAATGGAGCCGATGGCTCGGGCATCGCTTTTTCCGAACCCTTCGCGATTCGGACGCTACGGAGATGGGGCTCCTGGCCGTACTACTTGCAGCATAGGAGCCATGTTCGCGCGCGCGTCTTGACCGTTTGACCCCTCCCATTTCCAACCCGACCGACCCCTGGACACGTCGAAGTCACTTCTCATGAGGTATACTGGCTTGACATACTATTTGGCCAAGTTCATTGAAGAAGCTTGTTTGACAAGTTAGCACTTGTTTGATTTTTGGTGTTGTGTTGAAAATGTTGAAATCGAGTGACACTTGACATGGTGTTTGCTGCATCGCAGATCTATTTTTGTGCTGTCGACAAACGGTGCACTTTTGTTTCAAGCTTTCTTGTGGCCACACAGACTGTTCCGATTCGAAGTTGCTGACTTTTATTTCGAAATCCTTGGTCGCACGGGATAGCACGCTGCAATATTCTGTGTGTTTCTGTATTCGAAAGCCAGTATCCCATGTTCAAACATGTTCAAACATGTTCAAACAGTTTACAGGTCCTATTTCCATGGCTCTTGCCTCAGCAATCCCTTTAATCATGCAGCTGCTGCAGCTTAGCCGCCCGACACGTCGCAGACGCCGCCGACACGTTGTATCCAGAGGAAGCATTGGTGTGCGTGGTGACAAGCTCCTGGGAAGCAGCTGAGGGTCCTGCGGATGAGGGTCTTGTGCCGGCAGCTGAAACCGCGAGGGTCCTGTGGTCGTTTGCCTTGTTGAGGCTTGTGGACAGAAGGAGTTGCTAGAAGTTGTTAGACATTATATGTAATGTTACACTGTATATCGATGTTACTAACTTGTTAGAAGATTGGTCGTGCATGTGCAGACTGGATGAAGTCGCACCCCGCATCACCCCCCCCAATTAGTTTGGTCCTGCAATACTAATCACCTTTCTTCAACTTCCCTTTCTTCAAACCCGTAGTCTTGGGGGGATCCCTGTTCATGAAGAGATTTAGCAACTAATCAAAGAATCCCGACATATCCCGACCTTCTCCGACCCCCCCAAATATATCCAAATATGAAACCTTCTAGGCGAGTATAAATCCAGCTTTGCCATGATTAGAATTCTGCAAGTTCTTTTTTTTTTAAAGGTTTCCTGCCCGAGCAGAGCGATGAACGCAGAGCATGTATTAGAGTCTATCGTCTATATGATACATGTGTTAGAGTCTCTAGCCTGATCCAAGATGGTGCGTGATTTGGTCAAAGTTCAAGCCAGACCAGATGACATGTATCTCAAAGGTTCGGAGCTTTGCACCAGCTGGCGAGCCCATGTTGTCTCCTGGGTGTAGCAGGTCGTTTCGCCTCTTACAGTACTCTCCACCAGCACCAGAAGCGCCTCGAAAGCGCCTAGCGGCCTAGCACCGGTCCTGCACACCGCGCTCGAAAGCACCGCGCCCGGAGGCTTGGTCTTTAGCTGCGCGGTCTTTTGGGCCATGGAACTTCAGGGCAGCTGGGCCGGTAGACCCACCTGGGCGAGTGGGCGGACGTGGAAAGCTGGGAGGTCCCTGGAAGTGGGAAGAGATCGCAAGTGTATGGCATGGCCGAAGCGGGGCCGTTCCGCAGACCAAACACTAGTGTTCCACGAACGGAGAGGGAGCCAGGGAGAGTAAGATTGAGTAAGGAGATCCTTTCATTGCATGTTTTGTGTCTCACATCAAGATACATCAAGTGAATGCTGGAATGGCATGCTCCAAACGTTTGTGTAGCGTGTCGCAGAGTTTGTTTGGGGAGAGCAACCCGATGTCCATGCTCGCCGTGAAGGGGCCCTTTTGTTTCGTTCCCCACCCCCCGCTATGGAGGGTCCAACAATTCTTAGGAATTCTTATAAGGGTAGTTACACGCCCAATCCTGCTTTTGCATTTTTTGCGTTCTCCATGTTTCTTTATTTTCCCGAACTGAGTGAATCCCCGTTCCTAACGAGTTGGCACATCGCCATGGCCAGGCGACGATTCAGAGGACCACGCGTCTTCCTCCTCGCATGACGGACCGTCCGGACATCCCCAGACACTCCATGCGGAATGTATGACTACATTGAGCCCCTTTGAACAAAGCACTGCAAGGCACGTCAATGTATGCCGGCCATACATGGGAGTATTTAGGACCCCCTTTCTGGGTTGTTTCATGTGTTTTGCACGCAATCACGACGTGCTGAGTCACAGGGGCCCTTTGCAAAGAACGAAAGACTCATGGTTTCAGGCTTTCCTCCACCCCTTTTCGTTCGACCCCTGCTTTGACCCGTTCATTTGTTCACCAAAATTCGGGGGTGACTGGGTCGCCCCACCTGGCGGCTTTTCAGCTGCGGCCGAGGCAGCTTTTTGGTCTTTGCTGCCAGCAACTTGCACAGCTTGCAAGGTGAAATCAATCGTCATCGTTCGCTTGCTCTTAATGCGGACTCTTGATGAGATGTCGATCCCCCCATACTAGTATGAAGAGGTTCGTTCAATCCAGTTGGGGGGTTATTCATCAAGAGTCTATATCAGCCTGCTCTCCCATGGGGGTGTGACATGAAGGCTTCCTCCACCAGACGCTTTTCTGATCGTTTCATGGTTTCTTTCACCAACGGCGCTTCTCCATCAGAGCCATCAGAACCCAACCAAGGAGTACGCACATGTCCAGCTTGAGCTCTGGCCTAGCGGTGTTTGAGAAAGTCCACATGAGGACATGACAGACCTATGGTGATTTGGAAAGGATGCCGGAAAATACTCTAAGCCTACCTTCCCACCAACATTTGGCAGGACCATATATGTTCAGTGTTTTTTGGTGATTAATTTGTTTTTAATCAATCATGTCGATGCTGAAGCGTTGCTGGCTTCATTCAAGCCATTTGCTTGCTTACCACCAATCTCGAGTTCGACGGGTGTTTGTCATATGGTCATATGGTTAAGGGATGTTGATGGACGGTTCATCCTGCACCACTTGGAACCAATGCACAAGCATCCCCCCCAAGAGTCGTGCAGGTCATCACCACATGCTCCCACTCCCCACTGCTCCAACCAACAGTGGCTCCTGATAAAATGCCGTCCTCTAATCCAATTGGTTTAAGGGAAAATCTACAAACCCATCGTTTTGGGGTGTGAAACCCATGGTGTCCAAGTGTTCGTGATCCAAATCGCCCCAATTCCGATGTAAATACTAAGGCTACTTCCTCACCACCATGGTGGGTATCGTTTTAGCCTATGCCGTTGCAGCTGTGGCGCCCAACATGGAAGCGGCCAATGCGCTCCTCCCCACCTATGTGCCTCTACACTCCCTGGCTGGGTGGTGTTCTGTTGCGTTATTTCTTCATTTTTACCACCCACCAGCTGGACATATCTCTATGGTGGTTTCGTGGATGGCATGGGATGACCGACATTCCGAGGCGATTCGCAGGATTCCCGTGGTGGGATCCACGTGGATTCGCAGGATGATTCCAGGGAGTTGATGTTGATGTGTTCATGTGTTTTTGTTTTTCCGTGACTGGGGCTTTTGCCCAAACGATCCAAAGTCGCGACTAGGACACATGCGAAAGACCTAAATGAGGAGGAACGACTATATATATATATATACACAATATAGACTCTTGATTATGAACACCTCCCCCAGGTTGGATGGTAAAACCTCAGTCTTGGGGTGTTGATGTTTTCTCAGAGCCACAGACCCTCCAAAAGCTTTGACGTGCCCCGGTTCCCGCCTCTCTCTCCTCTCTTCAGGTCACGACCTGCCTCTATTTCGGCACCTTGGATGCTGAGACCAAGTCAGAGCCATGACCAGACTGACCGTGCAAATCCAAAGAGGAGGGGAGGCTCCAAGTTCACAGAAAAATCTACCAACACACAGGGCTATGACTAAGGTGACTAAGGACTGAACTTGAGGGGAAAGCCTGTTCAAAATGTTGAATTCCAAAACCAGTGGGTTGTAGAGGGACCCCAGAGGTTGCAGGGGCTAAACCGTGTTTTGTTGGCAGAATTGGCTGCTGATGTGGCTGACCGACACGTCGCATGACCGGGGTATGAACGTTCCATGAAGAACAGTGCACGGGTCAGGTGCCTCAACATTGACCAACCCTCCCAGGAGAGGCACCCAGAGACTGTAAATAGGACCCAGGAGAGGCACCTGGGGTACCCAATTGGAGAGCCGAACGTTCGGTTTCTGAAAAACCTCTCTTGGTCCTGCTACCTTTTTGCACCACGACAAAATTCAAAAAGCCTGCACCATGATGAGGCGAAGGACCAGACCAAAATGCTGTCCCGTCGTTGGCCGAAAATCATCGGGCCGAAACAGCATTCGAAGGAAGCATCAACAAGCTCAAACATCCATACACCCAGACAAACCCTCTCTACCAGGACCATCCAATTGGTCCAATGGGTGTCCTGGCTGGCTGGACTACCCTGCACTACTTAGGGATCTCCATTGAACACCCAGACAGTATAGTCCAGTGGTAGGAAACACTTTTGGGAGACCGTGTCCACGGGTGTTTGTGGGCTTGCTATTCTACACTCCGACTCACCAACTAAGTGTGTACTGGCTGCTTGGATGATGACTTTCCTTTATGAACGGGGCTTGAACTTCTCTTCGATGCGATGTCTTCGTCGGAGTGCTTTGCGCCTCAATGACCAATACACTCCATGATGCATGGTCCATATGGCACGTATGGTTCTGTGGAAATTTGTTTATGGACGATCTGTATATATGACTCTGATCCTTTCTGCCTTCAGTCTGGGCTGTTGGCTGTGCCACTACCAGACTTGGAACAAAAAAACTCCTCGCGCCCAAAACGTGTCACACACCATCCGACTCGTCACCTTCACGACGCTCGTCCACCTGGTGGACCTGGTCGCTCATCGTCGCTCCGCGGTAGGCGGCCTCTTCATCGTGTTCGAGAAGATCCCTGACGGCTGGTATTGGACGCTTGGACCCGCAGGGGATCTGGACTTGTTTGGCACACCAATTGCCACAAACCCGGGGTTGCATCTATGAGCGCACATGATCCATGATGTTTGGTTTTGCCAGGCAATCTAAGATATGGTATATATCGTGGTACATATTCTATACCCTACAACTCCTGGCCCATCTCCTCAGGTTCGGTGGTATTCGACCCTCCCTGGCACCCACCCCTGGCCCACCTTCTCCTCAGGAGGTGGAGGGTTGGAGCCCTATAGGGATATATTGGGTCACCGAGTCCACGAGCCACATGTCCGAGTCCACGGACTAAGGTCAACGCCCCGCACGAGCCACTGATGTGGTTTGTTTCTCCGAGCTTTGGAGGAGTCCAATCAATCTGAGTCATTCAGGGAGAAAGAACCCTAGAACCCTGAATGACTCACAACCTTCTAGAAGGACCCACGAGCCCTAGTGTTACCTAGGGGGTTCCTTTGGGGAGAGACCATTTTAAGAACCCCCTAGGCCCTAGTGCCAGGCTTTTGGGAGAAAAAGGATCTCCCACGGGCCATGCCATCCACTGGAAACTCTCTTCCACTTCCACTACTTCAGGGAGTTTTCCTCCGGGCGCAAGCTTGTGCTGAGGTACTCCTGGACCTCCTTCCTGCGGTACAGCTGGGGCATGCTGATGTTGAACCAGTTCAAAGATCAGCCCACTGGAGATGCCCAAGTCTTCTACCAAGATGGTCGAACGGTCGCCTGCCGCGAGAAAAGGGAAGGACAGGGAAGGGCAGGGAGAAGGGAAGCTGTCGGATCAAAAGGCGTGGCGAGATCCCAAACATGCTTCTCCATGTGGAGAAGACGCGACTATTCGGAAGCTTCCTCTACTTGGGATTTCAAAAGCTGTGTCGTATCAGTACGGTGTTTCACCTCATAGGTCCAAAAATGCTGGAAAAGCACCCGAATCTTTCTTCTATACTTCGCGTCGCACAAAGACTAGACTCTCGTTGAAAGCATGCTCCAACAGCGTTCCTTTCGTCGTCACTTCCACTAGACGTGCTTCAACTCCTGGTCGTGGCATGCACGACGTCGCTCGCCCCGCCCAAGCGGAACCGCTCGATCCTCCAAGAGGTCACTGTTTTGGAGTTCTACGGCTTCAATGATGGAATCATGGCAGACATGGGCGCGTGCACTGCTTTGCTCAGTGGCTGGGCGAAGTCGAAGAAAAGAGGGCCCATTTGAGGATTTGTTTGGGAGGACCAAACGGATGACTGGTGGGTGAAAACATGATCTTTTTAAGTATTTTTGGGGGTTATTCATATGTTTGAATATTGGGATCCATGCGGATCCAGCATGTTTTTGGTGTTTTTGTTAATGTGTTGTTTGTTTTTTGTGTGTGGTTTTCTTAGTTGGTGGACTGCCGTCCCATGGATCGTTGTTTTGGTGGGTGCCCGTGGGTGTCGCGGCCTTAAGGGTGTCGCCGTGTCGTTGGATCTCGTGTGGTTGGATCGGTCACCTGCCAGATTCAGATCAGTAATGCATGTAATATTGCACCAGGGTGTTGCAAGATCTATCAAGATCTGGGGGTGGCATCATCTCTCAAACATCTCCCTGACAACAATAATTCAGCACCTATAATTGAATGGATATGAGTCATAAATGGTGCCCAGAAAAGGACCAAAAGGACCTCAAGTTGTGGCTCGGGTGTTGTGGCTTAGGTGTGGTTTCAACGCGCGACGCGGCGGCCCAGGTGGTTTGCTGGTGATTTTTGCTATTCTGGGTGCCTTGGGTCTCAGCTATGTGTCCCACGTGAAGCGCTAGGAGCGAGCCTCGGCGGTGGAAGAAGATGACCGAACCGTCGAATGGTCGCAGAGAACCGGCGCGTGGAACCGCAGCCATGTTTTGGCACCCCTTTAGCTCGAAACTCCTGAAGTTCAAACCCTATAGATACCCTTCCTCCAACAATGGAAGTGGAGTTGGTGGTCCCTGGAAAGACATTCGGAGGGTAGCAAGCTTTTGGGGGCGGACCAAGAACCCCCTGAAACAAGAACCCCATGCAAAAAGGTGAGCATTTTTTTGTTGAAACTGCGGAAGTCAGTACATCACGTAGAAGTGGAACAGCTCCTGGTCCTGGTTTGGTAGAGGAAAGTAGAGGCAGAGGCCCTTACTAGAAGTCCACTGCCCCTAAGCACTTGACTCCACTTGACTGTTTATGGATCCACAGCCGAAGTTGCCCCGCAAACCCCTTTATATATTAATATATGTATAATTCTCGAATCCTCGGGTTTTTCCATGGCTTTTAGGTGCTACCCGTGCTGTTCTTGAGAAAGAAGCTCACGGGGTCGTTAATGACATTGGGTACTTTGCTTTCCCCGATCTTTGTCTTAAGACTGATCATATTCAACAGGAATGATTTCCAGAAAGAACGGTGTCGTCAATTCTAATGATTTCCAACACCTAGCAACTTTGGTCAACCTAGGGTAATGTCATTGCCAATGCCGTGCATGTCACGTCCGCTGGAGTCTCGAGACGGTGTTCCTTCCAAGTGAATCCCACTGCAATTGCACTTCGTGTCGCCCCCCCACCCCATCTCTCATCCATGCAAACATCAAAGTTCGCAGGTTCGCAGATCATTCCCGTGAAAATTCATCTTGGTTCGCAGATCATCCAAGCGCTACATAATCTTCCTTTCCAATCAGTCAGCCAAGAGCGAAATCACCCCCCCCAACGCCCGCCCCCACCCCGCCACCCCATGTCTCATCCAACATGAGTGTTCGTTTGCAATTGACCTGTCGCACAATTCCTGACTATTTTCTGACACCGATGACGACAAAAAGTGCGCAACAACCCTACAAAGCCACCAAAAACCTACTTCGCAATACTTTGCAGAGTTAACGCTCTCCGCAGTGGCCCTGCGGGTACTACGAAATGCTGCAGAAACCACCACGGAATGTTCGAAGATCGCACTCTCAGCATCGCTCCGCTATTGACCCCGTGTGCATAAACAAGCATCACCCAGTGGTGCTTTGGAGTTAGACGGTCCCTCTCCATCCAGTGCTTCTTTCCTGAATTCCCTTGCGCCCGCAATAAGGCTGGACGTTTGCAGAGTTGGCGGCGTGACCATCATGGGACGCGCGTTCCCAAGTTTTTTGCGGCTTGAAATTGGGAAGGTCTTAAGAAATTTGGGGGCTCCTTCAGACAGCGTTGGCAGAGCCAAACTTGATATCCACATTTCAGGAGGTGAGGAAATCTGCAGGGCTTGGTAGAATCCAATGTCATGTATGGACAGGGGTGCCCATGTCAAGACTTTGATTCCCAACAAGCTTTTTGCCTTCGATGCAAGTGATGCATCCAGCCGCATCCCACCATATGTGTATGATGTGTATGCGGTTTTATTTCCCACTAGCTGCGTCGGGCAAGAAATCCCGAGTGCGCTGGCAGTTTTCTGAAACAGGCGGGGTTTTCGAGCATATTCACGTCTTTGGTACATAGATACTTAGCCACATCCAAACCTTACCATTTCTACGGTGATGCCACTATACTAATTGACTAGGTTGTTTGCTATGCTTCCTAGTAACCATAATTCACCATTTATCCTAAGAATCTGAAGTGTCAAGAATTGTATATAAGGGTTTCTTTCTTGGGCATCAGCAACTATGAACAGTTAGATCCTCAAATGCAAGGGAACTGACAGCTCGAGAGTTCGTTCCTGATCCCCGGGGAACATGTAATCTCAACGTCCCAACGGCCTGTCATCCAATTGAACACGTGCAAAACTGTTTGAATGAGGACCCAACCCCCAGCTGGAGACAGATGAAGCTTGGATTCATCCGCCTCATCCGTTTTGTTAAGCAGCCACAATTGATCTCAAACGAGATCAAGATGATGCCGCAAGCGACCCTGTGGAAAAAGGAAAGCAGCTTTTCTCTTTGCTGTGGCTTGGGTGATGTCGGAACAAGGGACAAGGGGATGAGAAGGAAACAGTTTTCCCCAACAACAATGGAGCTTGAACACCAACCAGTTCAATATGACACGTGTTGTCTTCAAGAGTCAAGTGCTTCCTTTCATTGGTGCTGCTAGCTGCTAGACGTGAATTTGGGACTGCGAAACCAGAACCCGCCGTATTGTTTCTTTTTTTGCAACTGAACTAGCATGCAATAAGGCAGTTTCCACATGTTTCCAGCAATGTAGCAGAAGCATTCCTGTTTAATTGTGCCTCCAACCAATTCCTCAAATGACTGATATCCGATATTCACCATGTTTCCCCCATGTCCATTGCCATCCCCCAGCATCACCCGCCAAGGCCAACATGACGGGTACAAGACGAGTCATGGATGGTCATGGCACCCGCAATGCATGGGTTTTTACAGCTTTTGTTTTAAGCGGAAGTCTACTTGAACCAACCCTTTTTTTAAGCCTTAGCTTATATATATATTGCTATAATATTACATATTATATATATATATTTATAGTTGTTGCCTTTTTCTCACTCCAAGCCGGGTCCCGGCGCGAATTCCACCGGCGTTCGCCATGCCTTCGCCCGCCCTGGCCGCGGCTGATCTATGTCGCCTGGCGAGCGGCGAGCGGGGCTGGTGTAGGAGTGAGACGACTGCGTGGTCCATAGGGGTTCCTTTCATGGAGAGTTTGCTGGGTTCTGCCGCGGCATGGCTTCGCGGTTCGGTGATTTGGAAAAATGACCAATGGGAAGAGACAGAAAAGATGTACATGTAGGCCTGGGCCTGGAGAGAATACAGATGTAACTCTCCAGAATGGGGAGGCGTTAGTTCATCAAAACCCACCCTCAGCCCCACTGAACCTCACAGGGGGGTCTTTGGAGGCTTCAAGATGTGGAGGGCAGATTCTCCCCACTGACAGGCTCAGTGCTTTGGAAGATGGTCAGAGTTCAGAATGAATGGTGGAAATATCTGGAGAATTTGGTCAGTGGAATTGCGGCTCCAAATGTATCGGAAGTGCATACGGAGTCTACAGAACTGTGCAGTATGTCCCATGTTTATTCATGTGTTGTTTTTCCAATCGAGATTTGAATCTATTCAAGCCAAAGACGGAAATGGGCCTTTTCAGAATAAGAGCTTTTGAAATGGACCGCCTGTTGTAGGAGTAGATGATTTAGCACCATCCTAGTCACCATCCTATATATATATGAATATAATATAGATTGACGACCAGCCACGAAGCTGTAAACTCCGTGAGGTTTGCTGGCGAGAAGCCAGTTGTCCACACCGCCATGGTTTGTTCCAGGGACCCTTTTGGTGCGTTTCTTTCCACCGAAAGCCAACTCGCGGAGGTTGCGAACTCGCGGAGGTTCCGTGTACTGTACATCAACTGAAGTCGTGTTTGATCCAGTCTAGTCAGATCCCCGTCCGGCAAGCCAGTGTTGTTTGAAAACGTTTGGGGCTGACTTGGGAAGCCCTAGACATGTCCAAAAGCACCTTTGAGGAGGTTCCAGAACAGTAAGGGGAATCCGAAGCCCTGAAATACCCTTGGTGAACCACTGCTCAACATGGCGACTGGAGAGTTGGAAACGGAAGATGAACTCCCAAAACCTCACATGGACTCAGCCGTAAAGATGGTTTTCCTCTACCAGCTAGTGGTTTTCAGGGTCCATGTGTTAGCTTTCAGCCGGGGATGGTTTGGGTTGGCCCCGCATAGTTGGTTCTGAATGGAAAGAGATTCCATGGGCAATCTCCCCTGAGCATTTGCAAGAGGCTTCTAGCCAGAGATTTGGTCCGCTATTCACGTGGGAAGATGAAGGGCCGGAATGGGAAAGTTGACAGCTGCATGGAGTGCATCAGACTGGGTAGATGGGATGTTTCGCTTGAAGAAGTAGCAGCAGAAAGTGAGGGAAGAGACGACACCGCCCAACCGCCGAACTCGGGACGAGGGGCTGTTTGACTCGATTTCGGTGAACACCCCAGGGCTCAAGAGATGCAAGTAAGATCATGCAAGTTCCCAGACTAGTCTTGCTTGGTCTAGTAGACATGTCTTCATTCGTTTCGATTCTAGATGTTGATTTCATGTTGAAATCCATCATTTCAGCTTGAGAGGGGAAGTGTTGATATCACTGAGTATAGCAAATCCAAAACAGTTTGCTGACCACGTGGGTGAGCTGGCACGCACAGCGAGAACACAGAGTCTCCTTATCGTTCGAAGACGACCGTTCGACCCTGTTGCTGTGCTTAGCCAGGGTACAATCACCCAGTGGATCACCTGCAAAGCCTCAGAATGAAGAGAGAACGGGGGCACCACTCAAATTTGGGTGAAGCTGTTTTGTGCAGGTAGTCTGGGTTAGCGTTCTTTCACTTCTTGGTCCAGCTTGGCAGCTTCTCATCTTCTCGAGCGACATGTCCTCGCGCGTGCCGCCCGCCTGAAAGCAACTCATTCCAGCCGCAGCGCCAACGAATCCACCAAGAGACCTCAGCCCAGAAGCAGATCTTAAGCAAAGTTGGTGAAAAGGATCATCACACCAAAGTTGGTGACATCCCATGCTTGGCAAGTTGGTGACATGGAGTTTTTCATTCAAACAAGCAAGGATGTTTCTATATGTTTCTTCTTGGCCCAAATGAACTATAACAAAAAGTCCCAGCCTTGGCTACGGAACGGCCCGGCCGCGGGCCCCACGCTTTTCTTTGCTTTTGCTTTCGACATCGGGGCCATGGTGGGGACTGCGAGTTTCAAGAAGGTCGCCCACTTCTTGCGCCCGTGGCATTGGGGCAGCATTGCAGTCATTTCTTTGAGTGCTGCATGTGTGCTTCTTCGACGGAACCCTAAGCCAATGTCAGCCAGAGTGGAAGGTTGGCGCCTGTCAAGAAGTGAGTTGAGGGAGGTGCTGAAGAAGTATGAAAAGTTGGTAGCGAGCCCTGCAGCTGTTTGAAGATTGAGATTTCTTGCTATAATGCTTTTTAGTTCTATTTTGGGCAGGTCACGACGTCTTATTTGTATAGTAACTTCATGTAATTATCTAACTGGTCAATCCCTCTCTTCCCCACAAACTCTTCAGCACGAAAAAAGCTTTGGCCTCCCACTCTTCTCCCCTCCCTCCCTTCCTCCATCTCCCTCCCCACCATATCCCCAAAACAGTCCCCCCAAGGAAGGACGCCCGTGCCTTACAGCACAGCAGCACCGCGCGGCTCCTCGGCGCCGAGCGCTACCAGCGACGCACCGCGGCGATGCGCCACGCCGCCGAGACGCCCCTCGGGCGGCGGAGAGCCCGGTCCGGGCGGTGGGGATGGACGGTATAGATCCCAGACACGAGCAATGGGACTGCCATAGGACTGCCGCCCCATTGGCCTCCCACCTCAACCACCCCAACTGATCCGCAGATAACGGCAGTCTCATGGAGTCTTTGGGTATGTATATGTGGTAGGAGTTCCGAACCTGAATCTCCTTTTCTATTTTCTATGTGTATATTTTTGGGGATGGTTCCTCTAGCCAATCCAAGGAATCAACGCTTGGTCGAGCAGCTCCTCGACGACCTGCCCGATGACTCCTGTGACCGAACGGCGCTCGTCAGCGAGAACCGTTCGGAGGTTTGCACACCGCCTGCAAGGTGCTGTGGTCCGTGGCCGGTGGTTCGGGTTTTTGGGTGGGTGAAGAATGTGACAAACCGAAGGTGTAATTCTTTGGTTTAGCTAGCAGCAGCTAGCTTCCCTGTCAAAGGTGTTTGGTTCTTTTTTGTCCTGGTGATTCCGTCGTTTTAGCTAAAACGAGGCGAAATCGCCAGGACAAGAGCCTCCAATGCTTCATCATGTAAGAGGCAGCAAACAGCAATCGTTTGAAGAGGCGATGAAACCGGTGCATTCGAACACATCCATCAACACCGACTTGTTTTGGGGGTCGAAAAAAGCGCCACGCTGCCCGGAGGCCAGTGGCAGAGTTCCGTAGCTTGGGCAACAGTCTTGCCACCGTGTCCCGCGCGTACGGCACGTTACAATCGGTGTTTGCCCACCTGATGCGTGATTGGAGTGGCATTAGCGAGCAGACGGTGATCTCAAACCAGTATGGCCAGCTGCTGGAAGAGGTGAAGCCACATCTTCCACGTGGAAGCCACGTTTTGGTGCCCGGTGCTGGTTTGGGACGCCTGGCGCTGATGTTGGCGGGAGAAGGCTTTCAGGCGTCCGTGCCGACGTGCGAAACGTGCTGATATACTATGATATACTCTGTATACGGACGGAATAGTGCTGTGAATCCACCCCTTTAGCTTGATTTGTTTGTTTTTTTAGTTGATGCTTAAATGGTATTTGCAGGGATGATAACATAATTGATACCCCCAGTCCCCAGGCTTGCTATGTGTTTGTTTCTGTTGTTCCACTGGACTTTGATGAAAAACAGGTGCCTCGCACTTGTGGCAGGTGGAGGCCAATGACGCCTCTGCGCTCTTCATGACTTTTGCCGATTATATTTTGACTCCTTGGATTTTCTAAGCAGCATTTTTTGGTAAGTATGACATAACTAACCTTCCAACTTGGAAGGCTTGCGTATGTTCAACCTGGAAGGCTTGCATAGGTCATGTGTCGACGCAAGAGTATCCTCAGAACTCCGAACTCCCAAAATCCTGAAGATGAGGTCAACACATGCCAACGACTATACTGGTTGTATACTGTACATGTATATACATTTATTAAATATATGTTTTACTTCGAGTGACAGTGATCCTGAAAGGCGATTTGGAAGAAGTCAGGGCACATGTGTTGACAGACTAGCCTGACAATTGCGGACATTGCGGATTGACACAATGTTGTGACGCTTGTTCTGGCATCAAGTCTGGTTTGTGCTCTGACACATATGCATCATCTATCATGAGGCTGAGAAATGTTCTGGACTCTGTTCTGATGTCCTTGCTGGCGTGTGTTCTGACAATTTTTCCTGCCGTGCGATCTGACATGTGCTGTGACATACGGTCCGATGTCGGTCCTGGTATATTGTGCTCTGACACTAGTCAGACAATTGCAACCAAAGAAAGCGTCTATCTTGCAATGCATCCCTGCATTCTATTTGGCATACTATCTGGCAAATACTCTTGCACTCTATCTGGCATATAAGGCGCTTTTTGCTTTGCACTTACTCTGGCGTTCTATCTGGCATACATGCTGAAATTCTATCCGGCAATCTATGGCACTCTCTCTGGCAATATGTTGGTATATTCTGGCACTCTACTTGAGTACCTTTTGGCCGTTTTCTCGCATACATTTTCGAAGCCTATTTGGCATTTATTCTGGCATTCTATCTGGGAAATGTTCTTGCGTTCTATTTGGAGTATATTCTGCATACATTCTGGTGTTCTATTGTCATATATCCGCATTCTATTTGGCATGTAGTGGCATTCTACTTGCCATCTGTCCTGGTATTCTATGGCACGCCATTTGGCAATTATTCTGGCATTCTATTTGGAGTACTTCTTGACATTTTTCACGCAGACATTTTGGATTTTTTTTTGGCACTCTATCTGGCATTTACTCTGTCATTCTATCTGGCATACATTTTGTCATTCTCTGACAACTCTGACATTCTATTTGGCAATTAATCTTGCGTTCTAGCGTGCAATATTCTGGCATTCTACCTGGCACATGTTCTGGGAGCCTACAAGGCGTCATGTATCCTGTCATCTATTTAGCCGATATTTTTGCATTCTATCTGGCATATATACCCTGGCGATCGAGCACTGGCGGTTGAGAAGTCTGGCGGGACCCACTGCAGTCGAGCGCTGGCGGTTGAGATCCGGCAATGCCCACCGTGCGATCCAGCACTTGCGGCAGGGCCGACTGCCATCCAGCACTTGCGGTTTAGGTCCGGCGGTGCCCACTGCGATCTAGCACTTGCAGTTGAGGTCCGGCGGAGGGGAGGAGGAGGAGGACGCCATTTCCGCTAAAATCTAACAACCCTCACCCGGCAGGTGGGGAAAAAGATAGCATACTTCTGGATGAGAGCCAAGAGCCCTCAGCTACACATATCTTCTTCTCCTCTCGTCAATTCCGTCCAGGAACCGGGCCCCACTGGCAACGCCGTTCTTTCCACTGGCCCATGCCTTCTGGGAGAACTGGGGCCTGGAGCAGCAATACACCGAACTCACCGTGCCCAACGTGTCTCCACGCAGCGTGGCGAACTCCAGCGGTCCCGTGGAGGGGTCCCAAGCGCCGGTGGTGGTGGTCCCGGGCGATTTTCTCAGAACCTTGGGGCGTGGCAGAAGGTATTTAGTTGAGACCGAACGGTTTTTGCTTACACTGTGTTCGTCAAACTATATGCCAGACACTATGCCAGACCAAGGCTCCAGGTTTTGACCCGCCCCCAGTTCGGTATTTTTAATGACTCCTGAATCTGGGTGAGTCCACTTCTTCCTCGGGGAAAATGTTTGTTTGGTTCTCCAGGATCCGCTCATCCAAGGAACTTACCAGACTGGTGGGCCTGGCTTCAGACAATTCGATGCGGTGGTCACCTGCTTCTTTATTGATATGTCCAAAGATGTGGAGGAGCTCTTTGGGGTGTTGGACAGCTTGCTGGATGTAGGAGGTCTTTGGGTGAACTTGGGCCCTCTCAACTGGAAGAAAGATTCCAAATTGAAACTGACTTGGGAAGAGATTGTTGCAATCTGGCAGCTGAAAGGCTATGAATTCCTTGCACAAAAACGTGTGGATACTGACTACCATATTCCTCGCGGCAAGAAGATGTACACTGAATCACGCACAGTGTCATTGAGTGTGGCAGTCAAGCGATCCAAGCAATGAGCTCTCAAGTTCTCAGGGTTAGGGGCTTGGGTTGTCAGGAGGGGTGACTACTTAAAGGTCAACATGGCTGTTCGCAAAATGCGAAACGGTGGTTGACTGGATACACATTTTGTGCATCGTTTTACTCCGAGATGTTGTGTTTGTTTGGCGCAGCGCCGCAAAAAAGCACGGGTCAGGTAGATGTAACATGCAGGACAACAAGGATGTCCAGGCGCGCGTCCACATATCTATATCTATATAATGATGACACGTCACATCTGTGTAGTTCTAGGGTTGCCTTGTTGTCTCGCCAGCCCCGGTCTGGCACGACGCACCGATTTCATGGACGCACCGATGGTTTGATGACACGTTGTACCAGCACCCGGATCCAACAGGTCTCCGAAATGGAGCGTTTTTTCAAGCGGCAGGAGGTGACCCGTTGGGAGTTGAGTGCAGTGTTGATGTGAACGCATAATGAACCCGTGAAATCCACATGGCATTCTATGTCGCGACGAGTTCTGAAGGTGCATCCTTAAGTACAGGTTCTTAGGTGCAATCGGTTATTTTCAATAAAGTTTTTTGGTTTCACCATGCTTCACAAACCTCCTGGACAGAAAACACACGTTTGACACCTCCTACGACCTACGATTGGTTGTTTCTCCCATCCGCCGAGGTCCACAATGCTCCGTCGAATGCTCAGGCACCCAACCGAAGCATGAAGAGACTCGGGAAGACCATTCGAACCCTAATGTAGACTCTTGATCAATCAACCCCCCCCCACGTGAAGACAAGGCTTTACCATCCATGTGTGAGTTTTTCATCCAGAGTTTACAGGAATTATCAGGAATTGATGATTCATGGTTTTGGGCGAACTCCGCCCCGGCCGTTCTTGCAGCAGAGCAGGCACTCTGAAGAACACAGGAATGGCCATCGAAGATCCACTTCCTCTAGGTATTTCTGGAGTTTGCTTGAGCCCGCCTTGATGGGTACGAAGCGCATGGACGAAGCGGAACCGGTCTACAGATCTTTACAGACTCCTGATACGGCTCACAGTATTTAGCTGTTCGAAGCACAGCAAAATGTTAGAGGCTTTATCCTTTGTTAGTGCACCCAATGTTTGCTTTGAGAGGTTAGGTGTGACTCATCAATATCGTCCCTGAGTTCAATGGATGGTGGGACAAGGCTCCACAAATCACTGAAAGTGGATGTGACGGCCGCTCAAAGCCATCTAAGCTTTGGATATGATGGGGCCAAGTGACCATACTGTACCCCAAGCACTGTTCAATTCAATCAGAGAGGCAGTTGACCGGAAGAGGCTTAAGACGCAAGACGCCCCAGTGCAAAGCCGCAAAGGGTGTTCTGTAACGCACCATTTACAAATCGGAAGGTCGCGGCGAGGGGTTCCACCCCTACCCCAAGCACAGCGTTTTTCTGCGATGGATGTCACAGCCCCACTCCCAAGCACCGAAGCGCCAGCCACCTGCTGTGGGGTGCCATGGATGAGCAGATTTTCTCCCTGCTCGCTGCAAGCGCTTCCTATTGGATTTATGAGCCAACGGAACGTTCACTGCCCTTCTTCCTACAACTGGGGCCGGTGAACCTGCAGATCAGCCACGGTGGCAGCAAAGGGAGGATTCTTATTCCCGGAATCCGGTTCTTACAGTAGGGACTTAGTCGTGTCCATCCTAGGAAGAATGAAGCTTCGAAGAATTAAGAAAGGAAGCTTCTCATAGACATATATATATATATATACTAGTACTGTAACATTCCTGAAATATAGTCATGGAAGGAGAAAGCACCGGCTTGATCTTTGGAAAATGGAATTGTGATCCAGGGGGCCATGCCATCCAAAGGGGTGTGTCGTTCTTTCTTCTTATGTGGCGACACAGAGGTCCGGAAGGCGGAAGAAAGGCTATGGCCACCAATCGCCCGTCGCTATGCTTAAGAGGTCCGCTCCGGCAGGGGTCCGGAGACATGTCGCATCTGATGTTTCAACTGGTTTAATGCATGCATTTGATGTGTCTCATCCATCCCAGGTTTCGATCAGTGTGGATTTCGTGTCGATCAGTGTGGATGGTAGCGTCACTGCTGAAGAGTAGCGTCACTGTATGTCACTGTCACCTTTTTAACTCCAAGCTCCTCAGGTTGCCGTGTGCGAGCCATCTTGGAGCCCACACGTGAAGACATCACACAGAAAGGCACCTTTGTCGCGAGCTATGAGGAGGGGTCAACTCTGATCAACAATTTAACATTTGATATCACATTGTGTTTGTGGTTGGGTTTGAAGGGCAGCGCAGCTTCAACTGAGAATGCCACCAGCAAGAGCAATCTGAACAAGAATATGTTAATTTTATATACATGCAGTAATATTATATATATATATACACGTTATGTATATTTATGTATATGTTGATGGTATATAGTTATATTCTATTCAACATCTCTAGCAAACTCATCTACACTCATGTTGTTGGTTATATCACGGCATTCCACTCATTTACAAAACACCTCGCTCTGATCTTTCAGTGTACACCTGCAGTTTGGTTTGACCTCGTCATGGCATTGGGAGGCCATCATGGCGTTGGTTACCTCGGTCTTTGGGTCTGCGTCATTGGACATCGATGGACATCGATTCATCAAAAAAACAACCGCAACAAGAGCAACTGGGTTTCGATGGGTTTCGGATGTTTGATTTGTATATTCAACCTTTACTTGGGATGATGTTTCACCCACTGACTCATATTTCTTTCTGTTTCGTGGGCCAACCGTCAACCAGGTAAGAACCCGTGCTTTGAAGAGGCCTGGAGAATCTGAAGCTTAACGTCCACATGGGCACCCGGCACCATGGGTCTTCGTTTGACCTGTCACCCCGACCCAGTCATCCGACCAGGTGGGGATAGCTCGGACCGCTGGCCAGTTGGAAGCCTGGCCAGGACCCCACGACGCATGAGCAGCGGAAGGTCTTCGTGCTCAGTTTTCGAGGATCGCGAACAGCTGCAGACTGGGCGGCAAACGCTGCAGTGGTGCCGGACAAGCAGAAGCCATTGGGTACAAAGTGTGAAGGGAAGTCGACTTGGAGTAGGCTCAGATTGTTTTGAAGGATTGGAATCTCAGGAAATGGCTTGAAGAAAACTGGGTGGTGAATTCAAAGACTGGATTTTCGACCTTGACGTGAGATGATTGATCTCACTGACTTGTGTATTGCATGATGTTTCTTTGACGGCGTCGCCCGAGGTTCAAGGAGCAGGGCCTTTGGGTTCAAGCGGGTTGGGCCAGTCCCACGGCTTCCACTGGGTGGGGGAAAGCCGCTGTGATCTGGAGATGGGTTGGGTTCCTCAGCACCAGCTGTTGTCCATCCCAAGATACCGCAGCCAGCGAAAACGGAAGGCTGAAGGGGATGTGCAGCTCCGAAATCCAACTTTTTGATCCATTTCGGAGACCTGTTGGTTACGGTGCTGGCAGAGGTGTCCTGCTGGTAATTCTTTTCAACTGAGACCGACTTCGTCCCAAAGGGCGCAGCGTAGGACTGGCTCGGCGGTCGCTGATTTGATCCCACCACAACAAGTGATGGAAAGTAGTTTCCAAGTAGACAAAGCCCTGGCCGGCAAGTGCGCTTGCAGCTCCTTGGCAAACTTCACTTGAAGTGCTTTGGGGTCACCATGAAAGCATGCAGGCTTGAGGCCTTCAGATGGCTGGAGGTTGTAGGTCTTCTCCAAAGCCTTCAGATGCAAAGCCTCGAAGGGTTTATAAGGTCTCTTTTGTTGACCCAACGCTGAAGAGCCCCAACCCCGCCTTCAATGGATGCAGTGGTGGCCAACGTGGATGAGACCCCGAACTGCTTGTTCCGAACTGGTGGGCTGTCCCACTTCCTCGGTCAAGACGGTCCCGTCCATCCAGGTTCCTGGTTCCGAGGCCCTGGCCAGGTGTCCATTGCCAGAGATTGAGAGAAGTGAAGGGTTTTGCACTTGATGTCTTCAGCTCCAGGTGCAGAAAAGAACCTGTTCCTTTGAACATTCACTTAAGATACTTAAGCCACAGGGTACACAGCATGCAGCATGCAGAAAAGAACCTATCCACTCCCCTGTCCCACTCAGACGACCGACGACTCGTCTACGAACGGCCCCCCCGTGTGGGCCAAAGATCGCCGCCGGAGTTGGGGGATTTGGGATCGTTTTGACTAAACAGTGAGGACTAGAAAGTACATAGGATCCCCAGCTATAGCTGATGCCCCACTCAATGGTACCATCGTCCCCAAGTAGTGGTACATGGGGATCTAACGTATCCTCACTACTTTGTTTTTTCCAAAGGCACTCGGAGGTCGCAGTCGCAGCTCCACCATTTGTTCAAGAAAATCCGCGCACGAGGGGACCGATCACAGATTTCGGTGGGGGTATCCGGGTACACTATGGTACACTCTATCAGATCTGTTTAAGTGAAAAAGCGAATCGAACCGAAAAACCACTTGGAGACGGTAACTCCTCTTTTGAGGTTCCAAAGTCCGCTGAAGGCTTGGTCCACGTGGATGCACTGGTGGAGAAGTTTCTTGCCGCGCTGCAAGAGGAGAATTGCCTCACATGAGGAAGGCAACCAATGAAGACCACTGCATGGCGGGTCAAAGACATGCTGCTTGTGGGATCGTTTCCGATGCTCCAGGCGATTGCAAAGTTCTAATTCTGAATGTGGGACGATGTGGGACAACTTGGAACATTTGAATTTGGAACCATCATTTGCTGGTGGGATGTGGAATGGCATTTGAGAGTTGTCAGCGTGGGTTTGAAGCCCTGAACCCAGTTGAAACTCCTAGGAACGTGCCAAGCCGGACACGCTCCTTTTTTACTTTGTAACTGTTCTGTTCATGTTTGTTCCTCTGTTTGACTTATGAGGAGCTGAGATTCGAAAAGCTCACCAAATGTTGACAAATGAGGTTCATATATATATATATATAACTCCTAGACTCTAGACCTCAGCCTTTCAATACCATTTAACGAAGAATGACGTAGTTTTGTAATTTTGCAGTGCAAAGTCTTTATAGTCAAATACGCAGTGGTAATAGTGGCTGGTAGAGGAACAACCGTGAATCAAGGGTGCATGGGATTTTAGATAGTGAATCTGAATCTCCCCATTCACCAGCCCACAGGAGGACCCAAGCAGCTTGCACGCTGTGCTGCTTTGTGGCCACAGCTTGGGCGGGGCACTGGCACAAGTCACAGCGATGCTGGCTTACCAGGAGGCGATGCGAAACTCCGAACTCCATGAAACCAGGCACCACGACCTTCGAACAGGCACCGTCTCCATGGTCCAAGAAACCGGTACCATGACCCCTGGAAGTCACCCTGGAAGTCGGTCCCCACGACGTCCGGTGGTTTTCCAAAGACGGGCTTAGTGAAAGAGCCTCTGAGCCCCGCGAAGTGGACCATGTTTGGGCTCCGAAACAGGGGGTCAATCAGGATGTTTTAGGTATGAATTCTAGGTAGACATATATATACGATATATATATATATATATATATATGTGCTTCTTTTTCTTCGGTTCCGAAGCAGCAGATGTCCGTTCGACAGCAGATGTCCGTTCAACACCGAATCCCAACTTCCCACGTCCCACTGAACCCAGGTGCTGCGCGGTCGCCTCGGTTCCGACGTGGCGCGGCTCCTCTCGCGACTGCGCTGCTTCACCCTGGCTGCGCCACAGCCCTTTGCGGTGGATCCGCAGGGTGATGCAGGTGGGGAAGAGTAGAGAGGAAGGACTTCGGTGGAACGGATCTTCGGATCCAAACAAGAATTTGGTTTCCCAAATTCAAGAATGTGTTGCGACACGGAATTCAATGGGGAAATGTCATGACAGGATGTCAGAAGGAGGCTTTGCAAGCGAAAGATCTTGTCCTTTCTGCTATAATATATATACATATAAGATCATATAAGTATATAAGATATGTGTTTTATTCTTTTGTTTGGGATTTTGCTGGAGTCACCCAGTGTTGATTCATTGAGGGCCGGAGATGAAGTAGGAAGGAGCTTTTCTATGTGCACAAGAAAAACCGCTTCAGCTTCCAGTCGCCTCACTTCCAAATCCTCGAGGGTTGGAGGTTGTTGAGCCCAGTTTCGGTCGGAGGGTGCTGGTTGTTGCTGTTAACACCTTCAACTTCAAGGAATTGAGGTTGGACGCTGTTCATCATTAAGTTCACCTGTTGCGGTTCAAACTGCCGCGGTCGGATCGCACAATGGCCACCATGTGTTCCAATGGTGTTTTTTTGGGGGGGTGTTTCTTCAAATTTAGCACTGATGAATGGGGAAGGGTACAGGTTCTTGCTTGCAGGATCCTGAGTTAGGGGAACAGCTTGGGTAGCTTTTCTTGAGTTTTCCGGACTGGCTGGCCTGTTTGACAAGTGGTTGGGGGGCGTTCTTTCTAGAATGAGATGTGTCTCCTTCCATTCTGGGAGCTCCAGCAGATCTTCCAAGAAACCTGCGCCACACTATCCAGGTTCCTAAAATACTGCACCTTTTTTTCAAGAAGCTGCCAGTAGCCAGGCAAGGCCTTGGAGTGGATGTCGCACGCGGTGAATTATGTGAACAACCAGGATTGGGTGCCGCGGCTGCCGGGCAGCGTGGAGTTCTTGGAAAAGGCGGCGCCGGGCTGCAAGATTGACATGGACTTGGAGTTTTTGAAACTCTTCAGGACGGGGATGGGATTGAGGTGGATTGAGGTGGGGTTGTGTGAAGGAGGCTTAGGATTTGGGTGAAAGTATTGGTGCATTGGCACCTTTTTTTTGTTGGAGTTGAGACCCCTGCTTTTTGTTGAGGAAGACGTATAGCGAGCAGATCCCCAAAATGGCATGCCACCAGCACAGTCCCAAAACCATCGAATCTCCCTGTAGAAGTACAAGAAAACCATACTACTAATTGGTCCATATTGGTCCCATCCCATAGACTCTCAATCCCATCCCATCCAACCCTCCCTTGCTCCCCGCGGGCGGCACCAGGACGGTGACCACCACCATCTTCCTCACCTCGCGGGCGTCCGAGACCCTGACGCCCGCGGAGGCGTCGCAGCGCCTGGCAGAGTCGGCACCGCTGAAGCTCCTGGGAGGACTCGCGGAGCACGAAGTGAGGAGCTACTGTGAGCAGGAGCGTCCTGGCGATCGGAGGGTGGTTGAAAATAGATGGTTTGATGTGGTTTTTTGCACATGTCCTGGTCATATCCGTATATAGTTAATATAGCCAAAGGATTGTATAGAGGAAGGTGAAGAGGGGTGGAGGACAAGGGTGGGGCAGGTTCAGTGAAGCTACGTGCTATTGGTCATGTGAGTTGGTGAAGTTAAGCGCCGTCAGCAGTCTTCATTCTTTTAGGGTGCTGCCATCCGCTGAGTGCACTAGTTTGGCACCGCAAACTAGAACTACCCGATGACAACAACTAGAACTACCGTGCGAAGCGGTCACCAAAGGTGGTACAAACTTCCTTTGCTACCAATTCTAACTTAATTATAATCTATTATTTTAATTCTAATAGCAAACATTGTTCCTAGTAGCGATGCCAGGAGCCCCTGGTAGCATTCCTGTTCCTGGTAGTAAGGCCAGGAGCCCCTAGTAGCGTTCTTGTTCCTAGTAGCGGTCACCAAAGGTGGCACAAGGAACAATGTTGGAACATTACGAAACATGAAATTTCATGACACTATCACTGGAGCTTCTCCCTCACTTTTTGTTGGTCAATATTCATCTCAAATAGACATGTCATCCTTCCTCCTACGCCCTCCTGGCAGATATTCACCACCTTCGGCGCCACCTCACATCTCTTCGGCCATGGCGCGAGTTCCTGGACGTCCTCCGGCTACGACGGGGGATCCAAGGGCATGGGGACGAGCCGCTGCGGGGCGTACAAGTCTAAGGAGGGAAGCTGCTATGAAGGCCAGTGGAAGGACCCGGACGACCGGCGGATATACCTTGGGATGCATTGGCTTGGGTGGCTTTGACTGTGAGGGATGTTGGCGCTGCCGTTTAGACAGAAGCCAACTATTGAAACTTCTCCCGTTCCAAATTCCCTGTGCACATGTCCTCAATCACAGAAGACACGTGGCAGTGAGAAGATACTCCAGCTGCTTTGCCTTTGAGGGCAGTCATCAGAAGGGCTTTTTTTGAAGTGGCCAGGATGGCTTGCCAGAAGGCCTGGGAGTGCTGAAATGGCCGAATGGCAGCTACTTCCAGGGTGAGTGGCGTGCTGGGAAGAGGAATGGCCAGGGGCTGTTGATTTACCCCGACGGCAGCAGCTTTACAGGTGGGATGGCAGTGCTGAACTTGTCCAAACGATCCATGTATGGAATAGTTCTACCTGGACCCTCCAAAGTACCTTAGAAAATGGGACATGACCCCATAAAAACAGGTACTTGTAACCATTTTCCGAGGTACTTTGAGACTCCAGGTATATAGTTACTATTATGCATATATGCACATGTATACATCACGTATATCACGTACGTAAATGTATGTGACTGTCCCGTGCGCGCATGGTTTGGGATTCTTCACATGTTTTGTTTCAGACTGGCCCGCCAGCATTCGGACGCCAGGTGAATGGAAGGACGATCAGAGGAATGGCTCAGGCGTCCGAAAGTACCCCGATGGCAGCCTCTTCAAGGGCGAATGGAAGGACACCCCTTTTTTTGGTCGTGGAGTTTGCGAAGGCGGCGCACTTAAGTACCGACGCCTTTTGGAGAGAGTTCGAAAGGGAGAGAAATGGTGCCATAGATTCCATATATTCCATAGATCCATAGCCTTGCAAGACCGTTTTACAAAAAGGATGACTCGTTTTGTAGTCTCACAATCCTGCGTCAACGACCGCTTGCATGGTTGGGCCCAGACCTGGATTTGGTCTCGCTTCTTCCGGTGAGAGTCTCAGATCCGACCTCCAGGGGTGCGATTTGGAGGTGGATAGGGGCCCCTTTCTAGGCAGTGGATCATATGCAGTCCTGGGACCCCGATCCTCCCCCCTATCCGCACCCAGTTCCGCACCCCTATCCTTGGAACTGCTGGCAAGATGATGGCAGCAAAAGTTGGGCATGTGAGGTCAATTTGTTCGCGCAGCGAAGCCGGTTGGTTTTTCTCTCACACACACCACTTGTGGTCCATCCTGCAGGAGGACCAGAAGACTGGCCTGGGCCTCCTTACGTGGCCTGATGGGAGCACTGTCCACGGGGAGTGGTGAGTTCGCCATGGACGCCGACGACGTGCCGATGACAGGTCGATGCACTTGGAGGAGCCAAGATGGACTGCATGGATGAGACGTTAAGTCTGGCTTGAAGCGTCCATTGGTGGTGATGAGGCTCCTGCAGCCTGACTGTTTGACTTGATGTCTGATTGGTCAACATAGAAAATAGGGCCTAGGGCGAGATGAGCAAATCTTTGTCCCAGCCCTCCTGAAAGCTTCCACGGTTATCGGTTCTCAAGCCAACAGTTGTATCATGTCGGAAGCCCACACGACGGTGGAGAGAAAAGGGCGGAGACGGCACAAACGCGTGGGAAAGGGCCAGTGGTGCTTGGAAAGGTGGGGTTCGTAATTGCAAAAGACCTGGGTTAGGGGAGAGGTTTTGAGATGCTATGGGCATTTGAAGCTGCAGCGATGCATAGTTTGGTTGAAAGGTAGAAATGGAGAGAGGTTACTTGGTCAACTGGTCGGTCGTGTGTCAACTGGTGCAGTCAGATGCAGTCAGCCATGGCTGCTTCTACTCCGCTCAGGTCGTCTCCGTCGGGTGGAGACGGAGGCCTCCGTCTCTCAGGCGGGTAAGAGATGAATTGGAACGGATCTCAAGGCTTTCAAAGGCTCCATTGAGGTTGAGGTCCCCCATGGTCCCCCTAAATAGATCCAAACATGTAGATCATCATTATATTGTGTATATAGGTTGACCCACTTGCTTGAACTTCTGTTGATTCTGTTGATGTTTCACCGTCGGAAGTCACAAACAAGACTGAAGGCAGTTGGCAGTTGTTTTGCTCTCATGGCTCGTCAGCACAGACGTCCGGACATCGGGACAGCACCTCGCTGTGATGTAGCTTCACCGGCCGAAGTCACCAAGCAGAAGGCTTTGAAGGCTCGATGGATCCAGGGGTACTTCAACTCCTGCTTCAACATAGCTGCCTCGTCGGTTGGATGAGTGAGGGCCTGGCAGACTTGAGATGCTTGAGAGCGCTCTCGCGCACTTGTGCCCAGATGCTGTCTGAGTCTGACAGGCCTGAGGGCACCTGGCGAAACGGACAGAGCGGATCAGATGAACTCAACTTGGCCAAGGCCGTTTTACTCAAGAAGGGCAGAGAGGCCTTTTGGAGGCTTTTGGAGCGTGACAGTCGAGTAGATTTGAATGGGCGCACCATCTTCTCCAGGTTTGCACCGGTGGCTGAAATGTCTTCTTTCAGACGTCTTTTGTTGAAGGCCTATCCCGAAGAAATGCGCAAGCGCTGGCACTTCCTCCAGGACTCCTTAGGTGACCCGGACTTGGCCGTGCGCCGCAAGGCGATGGGCCTCATTCTCCAAACGTATCCTTGGTATCAGGTCTGGAGCCGCCCTGCTTGCCTCCAGCAGCTTCTAGGTGAACATCTGGTGGCCAGGCTTCCCCGCAAGAGCCAGACTTCACATTATGTGGATTCCGAGGACCCGAAGTTTGCCCAAAGGCTCTCTTGGGCCGTGGAGGAGCTTCAAGCCTACAACTTAGACTATTCCTTCCTGATATGGCTGCTCACAGCAACAAGCCTTCGTGAGGTGTCTCTTTGCTTCCAGTCCTTAGAGTCAAGCCTTTATGCACAGCGTGCTGCGTTAGAACACCATGAGCACCGCACGGCAAGCAACGTAGTGGGATTCAAGACTCTGCTGCTGTGGTACTTCATCACCACGTGGCCCTGGCCCTTGTTCATTCCCTGGCCCTTGGGCAGGTGTTTGTCCTGGGTGCGGAGGCTCAACAACTACTTGATCATGCCAATGTGGATTATTGTCATGCAAAGTGCTGCATGGTGCAGTTGGCATTCACCCTCATCCTTGCACCACCACTTGGCTACCACACTCTTGGTGGCTGCAGTTGTGGATGGGACCTCAGCCCTTACGGCAGTCATGCTTAGAGGGGCACAAGCTTTTCGACACCCACATTGGGTGGACATTTTGTGGATGGTGCGAAAGCCTAAAGCACTGCCGCTGGCACTTGGCCAATTTCGGCGTCTACTTAGCAGTCTACTTGGCCAGCTGCTGTGGCTTGAGGCCGGAGCGGAGGTGGTACATGTTCCTGGCCTGCTTGTTCTATGGTCTGCTGCGGAAAGTTTCAGAGTTCCACGGGCTGCAGATCAATAGAGCAGCTATGGTCCGGATGCTTCTGATCCTGACCCTCGCGGCGCTTCTTCTGCCAACTCCGCTCTGGACGGCGGCTGCACAGCGCTTGGAGGCCTTCCGATGGGATGCTTCACCTTTGGGCCGATGCCTTGCTCACTCGCCCTCCTCCATCGAGAGCGTCGATGAGGTCTTGGCTCAAAAGCCCAAGGATGCCAGTGGCCTTGTGATGTTTGGCATATAGGTGGATATATCCATATACCATGCCATCACCATTTCATATTATAAATCACTTTTTCAGACCCCCCCCGTAAATCCACATATTGTTTTGCTTACGGCACCCATTGGCTGGTATAATGAATTGGGAGACCCCCTGGGCCTGGCTGGGTAGACTGGGATAAATTTCCCGAACCGAAACCAGGGAGTCGTTGCCTGGGAGGTCTCCCTATTGTAACGCACACCCGCATGAGCTACGGCCTAATGTTACAATTAAAGTCAAGAGATCAGATGCTCCTAGATAAACAAAAACAAACAATCATACCCTCACTTCACCAAGCAACGATAACTTCCAATAACCTACACAACCTGAAACACGATATCAAACACCAAATCCTGATACCCGTTGACTTAGTAAATTTGACCGCGGCTCACATGTTTTATTTCCCATATTTCCCTGTGTGGTGCGTCCCCTTTGAGGAAGGATGTTTACACAGTATTTTTTTTGTTTGCTCCAGTTCCCAGCCCCTCCAAGGTTGCATGCACTTGCGCCGTCGCCGGAAAGATCTCAGCGGTGAAAAGGTCTCTGCACGTGATGTGTGCCTCTTCCCCGCCCTGCGGAAGGATGAAGATGGTGTTCTCCGCAACACCTCATCCGCTCTCATTTTACCCTGGAAGAGATTCTTCTCGGACGTGTTGTGGCGTTGGGATGCCGCCAAGTCCCCGTATCTCTCTTCGCTACGCGTCCTAAGTGATTTCGTGCGATGTGCTGATGGGCGCACGTTGCTGACCCTGGCGGCATTTGAGGCAGACTTCAATGCACTTGCTGCATTACAGCGCAAAGGGTTTGGGAACCTCCTTGCACACGACGGTTTCGGGCGGAATGCCTTGACTGCCTTTGCATGTGATGGGCTCACACATTTGATACGTATGGGCACGGCATGGGCACCAAGCAAATTGTCGCATGTGATTGCACAAGGGCATGATTTCTTTAACTCCACTCTTCCTGAGAAGGAGTGGTGGACTTGGCCTGATGAGCTGGGTTGGACCTACAGCCAATGCATGAAGATCTCCTCTGGTCTGGAGAATGTTCAGCAACTCCTGCGGCTCGGCCCCTATTTCGGACGTCCGGGGAAGCCTAACGAGCCCTACCTGCTGGAAGGGGAAGAGAGCATTTTGGCCACGATGATGGTGATGTGGGAGGAGTTTGAGTGGGTGGTTTGGGAGTATTGATTGCATTTACAGTAAGTCACTCCATCAATTCTGCTAGTTTAGGATAATGAGAGAATGGTTGTGCGCCAATTGATGATTTTCTTGTTGAAGGGGGGGGTGCAAAAATATTCCAGTCATTACATGTAATTACTATTATTATCATGTCAATTGTGTCTAGATCACCAACCAGGAGTGGGTCACCAAAGAGGAGTTCTACTCCTCAATTTCTTCCGCCATGTTGGCACAAAGCAGAGGGCTCTCCATCGTGCACCTCCGGGGTGGTATTGTGAGGTGTGGCAAGTATTGGGCCAGTTCCTGTGAGGAGTGTGCTCATACGGGGGAGTCTGCATGTGACCAAGACTGCCACTGGGTGAATGGAGCTTGCAAAGCAAAGTCCTCCTTTCAGCCAATAGCAGTGAGGTGTGGAGGGCACTATGCTGCATCATGCACAGAATGCCCACAGGGGCACGGCGAAATGTGGTGCAATGGCGAGTGCGTGTGGATCGGGGGCACTGAAGAATGTGTCCCAGCTGCTGAATCTGTCTCATGTGGATTGCATCGAGCGGTTTCTTGCAAGGGTTGCCCGCAAGGACATGGAGAGCTGTGGTGTAATGGTGACTGCCATTGGGTGAAGGGAAGCTGCGTGCGTTTTGTGGCCACTTGTGAGCCGCCTCCGAAGGAGGCTCGCTCTAGAATTTCAATTGCTTAACTTAGATCTCTATTCGCGTGGCAGAAGAATGCCCGGGAGAATACATGGAGATGTGGTTGCGAGAAAGGAGAGAAGAAGCCAAAACAGACAGAAAGAAAAGGGTTCTGACCCGTGTTTGCCCGGGTTACTGCCATACTCTCCTTGTCGGAGACTTCGCAACCCCACAGAAAGAGCTGTTGAAGCCAACCGTTTGCAACGTGGAATGGTCCGATGGAAACGCGTCGCCGCCGGATTGTTTATCACCTGCAGCAAGTGTTTGCATGTTATATATCAAGTCGAGTTGTTCAGGCTTTGTGAACATCACACACACACACACATCCACTGTACCCTATTTCCAGACAGCATCACTCGCTCGTGAGACTCGCTCGTTGGGGGGTAACTGTTGTATGTATAGGGTTTGTCCTCATACCTGTAACAGTCAGTAAGCAGTTATCATCATTTTTGAACAAGGCCTGGTACCTAATCATCATCATCCACTGTTACAGGTAATAGGATGAACCCAACCTATAGAGGTATATGATTTTGATATTAGAAGGGGGCGGGCACCGCTAGGAAGGGGGCGGGCACCGCTAGTCTCGACTATACACCATCACTCCCCACCGTCGGGGCCCAAGTAGCGGCCCCCCAAGTGGGATTTTCCTTACGGCTACCAGGGTGGACCCTACAAGTCCAACAGCCTCCAAAACAACGGTCGTTGGCACAACAGCCATTTCCAGAATGGACCATTTGGGAACGTTGCTTGTTAATCTGTTCATTGCCATGAGTACTCACAAGCTGTCACGCACATTTTTCAACCTCCCATCCCATCATTGCAACGGGCGTTGGTCCGATGAGCTCATCAGCCTCAGATGTATGCATATATATGCACTCATCCCAGCACACAACTAAAAACATTGCAGAAACATGCACATGCATGCACATCCAAAGTAGGACAACTCCAAGCAACCTTCGGATCCGATGTTTCATGCTCCTCATCCTCAAGCGAGCCACTCTCAAAGTCCACCGAGGTCTATTCTTGAAATGGGTGCCACCTCCAACTCCTTAAGTGTCACTGCCAAACACTGTGCCAAACACAGCACACATGCACAGAACCTGGTGCCATGTTCATCGCACATTTGTACATGCTTCCATATGAGGCCAGCCAAGTCACGCTTGAGCCAGCCCATCGAATCTTCGTCGATATATGTGTGAAAAAAACGCCAGTTGGATCCTTGGATCAAACTAGTCGAGTCAATCATTTCTAGCTCGATCGACTGAAGTTGAACCATAAGAATTCAACACACGTACATGTACATGCCAAGAATGACCAATCCAAGATACTGGTCAGAAGC